TTAAGGCAGAGGCTTGGAAACACTTTGAAGCTTTGGAGCTGCTCAATCAAGTCTCAGGTAGCGCATAGGCCATGGAAGCTTCACCTCATCAATCTGATAATTTCTTGGTAGGTTAACATTTTTTAAGGTATCTCTGGCTATCCTGGTCGTTCATTCGCAAAGCGCACTGATTTTTCTCCTGACTCTGACTGGCATCCTTCTCCCATTAATACAACTCTTCAGTTCAAGGGTGACACTTCATCCGATGAGATCGTTGGTCATGAATTCGTCTATCCACTCGTGCATGATCTGCTGGCTGAAAATGATGACGAGCGTCAAAGAGCTTACACACTGATCTTGAATATCACTACTCATATTCTGACTCATGACTGGTATTTGGTTGGCGAGAATCACACTCATACCACATGGGGTATTTGGAATCCAATCCAGGTGAACGATGACAGTTTCTACCAAGAGACTAGAGGTCTCAACAGTCTTCAGGTGCTGGCTTTCCTGCTTCAAACTTATGGTTACAGCGGTGAGGAGCGTTTTCTCAACGGCGCCCAACTTCTTATTGGATCGTTTCAATACGATGTCAATCTTATTAACCAGAAGATGATTGCTGTCTGCGATGGTGATTTCTCCGATGATGAACTGGCTTATTTGTCATATTTCAATCTAGTTCATGCATTCGACACGATTGCTTCGTCGACTAGTTTATCTACAACACAGAAGACACGTGCACAAGTACTTATTGATAACTTATCACAATACATGAAAGTTGGATTAGATCTATCGCACAAGTACAAACAAATGGAGAAGTCACCATTTTATAACTTCATCTATTGCTATGCCAGTGGTCAGATCAATCAAACTAGAAAAACGTTTAACAAACGCCATGCATCTCGTTCTACACCTTCAGATTTAGATTGTAACTCTTTGTCAAAGGATGGTGTATGGTACATGCATCGTTGGCCATTGGAACTCATCAATTGGCAACAGTTCAACAGTGATCGCCTGGATATTCAACTCAACGTACCTGCCAAATGCAAGAATAATGGTCCCCCTTCATTGCAGATGTTACCTCCCGACGAACGATCCACTCATAAATGGAACAGTGGAGTATATGATTTGGATGATGGAGATGGATTCAGTGAAGAAGATCCAGCCAGTTTCTTGCTTAGTTATTGGGGAATGCGTTATTTCAATTTGCTAGGGTAATGAAAGAGTTATCATGTTTGTGAGGATCGATGCTATAGCTAGTTTGACACTGAGCTTTTATTTGCACTTTGCATATGTTTGCAAATTAATTACTCGCACTGTCTTGAATGGCAAAACATGCTAGGCTGGTAAATCATCGCAATTCAATTCTTGTTTGCATATAAATAAATAATTGGTGTTGACTCGTTGTATTTGAGTTCTGAAGACAAATTAAGAAACAACTTGGATATGCTCATGCTTTTGCGTAGGTCGCATTAAGGGAGCAGACCATAGTAACCATGAGACATGTGCTATACTACGATGATCGATATTTCCGTAAGTTGAAGTGCAGTTACAGAGGTGAGAGTAGAGTGTAGAAGTAATGCGCTTGACATATGAGATTACGCTTTTAGCAGATCTGCAGATACGAGTTCACGGCTGATAGCTGGCCAATTTCTCCGACTGTGACATGTTTAGACAAGCAGTGAGGATGCAAAGTAATAACTTATGTGGCAGTTACAGTAGCATCCATTGGAATGAGGTTTCTGCTCACCTACAGGTGCGACTACGGGTCTTTGTTCGACCGAAATCAAAGATCCAACATACATCATAAGTTCGCTCGATGCCGTTCGCCCGTATTTTTTCCTCGCCTGAAGGTAAATTTGGTGTACCCGACAACCAACTGCATATTATTAGCGGCACTGAAGAGGGCCTGCCCCTATGGGTATCGTTCGAGCTGCAAATAGATACTTTAATTCCGTAAATTTATTCAAGTAACAAACGTTTCGATCTCTTTTCTCGAGGTCCTCTTCGGTGATAATAATTGAAGTAAAATATATATAAGTAATGTATTTAATATATCGGTATTCTCATCTAAATCATTACCATTGTATTCACGTTCAAGATACTATTTGCTACAATCAATTGCCAACTTGGTATGTCTATACTGTTGTAATAATAAAGCCACGAAATTTCTAACGGACAAAATACAAAGACTCTTATGCTTTAACACAACATCGGCGCTAGGAATAATGTCAGTTTGAATTACCAATGTGCCAGATAGAGCTCGAGTAGATCTGTGCAACAGCTTAACTTAAAGCGTTACACCTAAAAATTACTCGCTCAAGCTGAACGTGTCAGTCATCTTTGTATTACATTTATCTCTATCGGTTCGAACAACTGTACTATTATCAGTATCTTTTTAAAATATGCTGTATACAGTATAAAATCAGTTTTTTTAATTTATTGTGTTACTGATTTAAAGTACTCCGGAAAAGTAGCTTCCGCAGCATAGCTATTAACTTCTAATTTCGTGGGATACTAGCTCTTATCGAATACTGAATACCCACCAAGTGTGGGCCTCTGTTGCTGGATTGTTCGTGAGATATGAGCGATTTCTTTCTTTTCCATAAAATATCAATAGCTTCTGACCCACGGGAGATAAAAACTTTTTCTTTTTACTGAAATGCAGGCACGACTCTACTCTATCTACGATACGAATTTACGTGAGTTGGCTGTTAGCAGTTAGTGAAATACAGCTATTTTAGAGGCGATGATCGTTTTTTTCTTGTTGAAAATTCGAGGTCCATTGTGAAAAAAAATTCATAACTCAGTCTAGAAGCATCATTTTGACTTCAAATGCGCACCAAAGACTCTACAGTGTCTGTGAATAATAAGGTTAGCTATTGTGTGGTTCTGGAAATTCATCGAGAACGATCACCTACAATTGAAACATACGTAGAAGCACGAGGATGTGAAACTATGTGTCGCTCTTTCTACTATAGAATTTGTATTCATTGTACATCATAATCATGAGAAAATCATAACAGAAACCCATGATTCCGAAAAACGTATGTGGAACTGTTGTCAGAAACATTGAACGCTCACTTTTGTCAAAATGATGCTCCTAGGCCAGAGCCCTGCAGGTTGATCCTAATCTAACCTAACCTAACCTAACCTATAGATTAGATTAGGATTAGGTTGCAAAAGTTATAGGCCAGGTTAGATTATAGGTTCTTCTATTTTTTTTTCAATGGTTAGGTTAGGATTAGGTTGTGAAATTTTTTATAGGTTAGGTTATAGGTTGCCAAATATTGGCAACCTGCAGGGCTCTGTCCTAGACTGAGTTATGAATTTTTTTTCACAATGGACCTCGAATTTTCAACAAGAAAAAAACGATCATCGCCTCTAAAATAGCTGTATTTCACTAACTACTAACAGCCAACTCGCGAAATTCATATCGTAGATAGAGTAGAGTCGTGGCTGCATTTCAGTAAAAAGAAAAAGTTTTCATCTCCCGTAGATCAGGAGCTATTGATATTTTATGGAAAAGAAAGAAATCGCTCATATCTCACGAAAGATCCAGCAAAAGAGGCCCACACTTGGTGGGTATCAGAGCTCCGTATGGACTCAGTCCAGTCCATACGGAGCTCTAGTGGGTATTCAGCATTCGGTAAGCGCTAGTATCACACAAAATTAGAAGATAATAGCTATCATGGTTCTTGAGTTACACGGGTATCGCTACTTTTGCAGGCTAATGTAATTACATCCGGTGATAAATATACATTTTCTAACCCTCTTAGTTTAATGTTTGCTATCAGAATGCTTTATAATGTTATTGTACGATGTTATTGTTGTCATCTTTCTTTATTTATTATTATAATGAAGTCAAATCTATATCTCAATAATTCTGTAACAATTTTAAAATCTAGGTGCATATCAAATAAAATATTTGCTTATTTGCCTATCCACTATCACTAACTACCTTTTTTTATAAGGAACGGTTTGTCAGTGGTTGTCATGGATCGTAGGCGACTGTTGTCGAGACCGAGACATCCACGATGTTTTTTACCTTCAAAATTCTGCTTTATAATTTTTACAAGGAATGTATATATTAAAGGTAGCGGATAGCCATAATGAGCTCAAATTTCAGCAAATTAGTATTCACTCCAATAATCAACGTAGAACGCTAAAGGCGCTTTTTTGTTTTTACTTCCAAAAGCACCTAAACTTTTTTGAGAGTAAAAGTATTGTTTGTTTGTATGTTCATCTATCTCTCTCACTTCGAGGCATTGAATTTATTTATAATCTCATTCACTCGGGAAAAAAAACACGCGCTAATATGGAAGTTGTGCAATGAGCTGTTTTTCTCATCATACTAATTATTATGTAGTCAACATTTTCTTTAAAAACTACAACGATCACATAATTTGCCTCTATTTACTTCGGTACATGGAAGAGAATGATTGGATGAAATGTGAATTGGTTTACTGAATATTGAATGCTTTTAAAGTGATGAACAGGTTAAAAGTAATCGTCGCAAGCCTCTTCATCACTGCAGAGTGATCGACGTGGAATATCCGACTTTTTCACCATAGGTACGGGAGCTGTAAATGGTCGTCGAGACGACAATGGTGGTACAGTTTTACAATGTTTTTGATAAAATGCTGTTATTATTTGTGCTAATAGTTCTGGTTGATCAATGGCCATAAAATGACCATATTCATCAGCAATTCGTATTTCCGAATTTGGTATCAAATTACGAAAATATTCGGCACCGGTATATGTAAACAACTAAAAAAGGTTTCTCTAATTCTATCAAGAAATGCCGAACAAATAATTCGATTCTCGGTCGAGTCATACATTTTCTTTTCCCATGTTTGTCTCTCAAATTGTCTCAGTTCTACCCAAGCACGATCTGACATACACTTTCAGTTCACATAAATGATTCAACTGTCAGAGTCTCGAATGCTGACATAGTATCCCTCGCAAAACGACTAGAAGTATTACAGAAGTATATAACCTCTCGAGGATTTATTATGCTTTATAATTAGCCGCTTAGTTAGTATAAACAGATGAATTATGACACAGGACTTGATGCAGTTCTTCTTCATTCCTTTTCACGTGTTTGTCTATCAAATTATGTCTCACTTCTAGCCCTGTTAAAATCCACTTTCTAATTCCATCAAGTCGTGTTTCACAATTTATCTCTGTATAGAGTAATTGAAACGTGAAGTAGTCTAGACCATTCTTTTTTCTGATGACAATCAACACAATCACTGAAGCAAATTTGACGTTCTGTTATTTTCTGTTCAGGGTTCAGGAGCGGTCGAGATGTTAAAACGAAATTAATATAACACTAAAGTTTAATTAGTTTTCTATCGTGAAACGAGATTTATTTGCGTTATTTGTTCTCTCTATTCTTTAGGCGTTTGAAATTTTTTTGATGCCAATTATACTGTGGACACCTTTCCACATTATAGAAACTTTAAGTTCCACAAACAACAACATAAAATTTAGGAACTATGGGGCAATAGTAGCGTTTAGTATGTGAAAATACCAACTGGAAGATTTGAAACACGAAAGTAAAAAACAACAAGGCCGCTGGTATTCCTATATCCCAAGCAAAAACGACCCAATTTTTTGGGTTATTTATCTAGATTCAGGTCCACGTACATCTAGATGCACGTGGAGCTGAATCTAGATAAATAACCCAAAAAATTGGGTCGTTTTTGCTTGGGTAGATTCTGATGTCTTTATGATGCAAACCAGTTAAGTTGAACACCGAGTAACATCTTCTCCATTAATCTTCCAAATTCATTATCGATAGCTGCGTTTTCAAACCCCAATTTTTTAAACCAAATTTTCTTCGATATGTTTTAAATTTAAATTCTTTTAAAATTTAAAAGTCAAAAAAATTTAAATTTAATTTTTTTCAAAATTTTCCCATTCATTAAAATAATGAACCTGGTTACTTTTCCAATTATATCTGACTAGAAACTGATAGAGAGTTGCATTTTCACTAACCGACAGCCAAGACTTTGGCTCGTCTTCTCATAAAAAAATACGTTTGAAAATCTTTTTTTAAGGTAGATTTCTCAGAAACCTTTGGAAATTTAGGCAATTACTCGAAAACTTTGTAATAGAGATAGATCATTTTTTTCATCGATTGATAATACAAAGTACTTATTCGAAATAGTTGCCCAGTGAGACTCTTACCTTTGATCGTTTAAGCCTATTCATAAATGGCTAATATTTTTTTGCGAAGTAAAACTACCCTAATGCTAAGTTTATTTTTGCTAAGTAAGATTTGTATCTGCTCAGTAAATAATTTGAATGTTTAATAAAATTACTGAAAGCTCAATTAATTTAATTTTTCTTAACAATTAAAATTTGCTAAGGTTGATAAGTGATATATAAGTAGAATATTTAATCATTAAGTTAATAAATTGAAAAATGTGTTTTTAAGGTGAATAATTTAATTAGGAATAAAAAGATTAATCCCACCCAGAATTTTTTTTTTAAAATTTAAATAAAATACTTAGAAAAAAATGATTTTTTGCTTAGCATTTAATAAAAACTAGTTAGCATTTTTAAAAATGAGAACCTTCATAAATCACTCAAAATCGGTTCAAACAAGGTGGAAACTTTAAAATATACTCAATTTGAGTTGCTCTTGGCGATGAGTCTTGGTATCAAGTCAAAGGACTTATTTCTACTTACTGATTATTTAATAACTTTGAGTGAAAAGTTAAAATGGTTTGCACATTTATTCCCTAAGTTTATTCATTTATTTTCAATGAATGATGCAAAAGAATTGCAAAAAATAGTTCCCGCTCTCGATGATGATGGGATTTTATTTCCTGAACCTCAGTTATTGAAATGAAAAATTGCAAATTGTATCGATATGAATGAAGCGTGTGACTTAATGACAAGAAACAATGGATATCCACGAGTACAATTAGTTTTTAAATATTTGTTAACAAATCCGGTGTCCATTGCTAATAATGAACGATCGTTTTCGAAATTAAAAATTATCAAAAATTATCTTAGAACAACAATGTCGAATGAAAGATTACTTCATTTAATGTTATGTACCATCGAGAAAGATAAACTAGATCAATTAGATTTAGCTGCTTTAGCTAGTGACGGAGCTAAAATGAAAGACAGAAGAATTGAACTTCCAATGTGTCAACACTAAAATTGTCATTAAATGAACGATGATATTTCAATAAATTTGTAACTTGAGTTGTTGAAACTGGGCCATTATATTCATTTTGTACTGCACGTTTCACTTGAGCTTGAGTAAGTCCAAGTAAGCGTATCAGCCCTTTTTTTTTGATTATGTGTATCACTTGTCGACACAATTATTGCATTTTGAGAATGAAACAATACACGAACTTGACAACTGCATTCTGGTCATTTTCTACATGACGAACAACGATATGTAACTTTAATGCCACCTTACACATTTTTCGTTCGAAATTTTGATACTTTATTATGATTTAAATAAACATCCAAATCATCTTTTTGTAAATATTTATCAATAAAACTCCAAACTTTTCTTGACATGATTTTTGTTCAAAGAAAAAATATTTAGAGTGTATTGAGAACTGTGGGCATTGAATTAATTCTTAACGAGATGAACTTCACTCTACACCAATGTTTAAGATCTATCATACATGTCAGTCAATAAGTCTCATTTGTATTAAACGAAACGTCCGTTCATAGATCATCCTATTTTTTTAGGTCATTTGCATGTATCTTTACTCCTTGAAAAACCGTGCACAAAAACGTCTCCGTTCATATTTCTGTCTTTTTTACGTTCACCTTTCTGTAACCGTGCACAAAAAACATTTTCTTCTGAATTTTGAAGATATTTGAATAAAGTGTAACTCTGAGTTGAACAACGCGACGGATGCACCTCAAACATAAAAGACTATCCGAAAAAAAAATTCTATGGAATTTTATTTATCAAAGACAGTCAACAATAAATTCATCTTTTACACTATTCGCTTATTTCTAAATTCGAACGAGACACAAATCTTGTTTGCTATGTTCGGTAACTTAATTATCTAAACTAATTACATACACACGTGAAAAGCACAGCTATTTATATTTAAAATTAATATACGGTTGAACATAGCAAAACAGATGGAATAGAAGCATGACAACTTCCTTCTGACAAAGAGTTTCCAAGAGCAGCACTCTGGAGATGAGAAAAACGTTCTACCGAACGTCTTCGTCAAGGTCCAAGAATCGATCAACATATGACTGAGGATCACGCTTTCTTAGCTTCTTCCTACTCCTTTCCTTCATACAAAACCTCTGAAAGCAAGTGTCCATCTGAGCAGAATTTATCTCTTTTCAGAGACTGTAGTTTTTGGACTAGATACGACATCAATATCTTTGTGGAGTGATATAATAATTATAATGCTTGTAGTCTTTTTTTACCCCACAACGTTGCGATCGCTTGCTGATAATCCTTCGGTACTATTCTATTGGGTTCAATTTTCTCTATTATTTTTGTCCATTCAGCTATGAGATAACTGCGTCTTTTCTCATTTTCCGTCATCATTTGATCATGTACAAGCTGAAAATTTGTGTTTGCTAACTTCATGATCAAATCATCCCACGAGTCAAATGTCTGAATGTAAGGAAGCTGGTAGTAATCGGCGAATTTGATCCAGTATTTAAATGCTTCGATATCGACGTCTGGAGATAAATCTGGTGAATAGGGATGATTTGACTTTGGATGCTGTGGTGGTAAATGTTCGAACTTTAATTGCGCACAGATATCTTTGTGTGGTAATATTCTGTCTCTAACAATGGCTAGTTGAACTATGAATTCAATCGAGGGTATAAACATCGGAATGCCTACAATACGTATTTTTGCTACTGAAATGTGAAAAAAGTATTGAAGGAAGCTACCTACCTACGGTATACAGTTCCGTAATACCATAACTAAGAACAGCATAGGGCAAGACGACAACGACACGATGAGCAGACAATTGTTCTAATGAATAAAAGTCATATAGTAATATAGCTGTGGAAAACACGAACTTCGGTATGTTACTCGGTGCTCGAGCGGAAGCGTTTCTCATATGTACAAACCAAGGACTGTCTCTGAAAAGTAAAAATGTGTGTTAATACTCATGAAGTCTGCTTTCATTCGTTTCACTTAACGAGGGTCTGTTTGTCACTCTTACCTGACTCGTAGTGGTCCAACTAATATTTCCGCTCGGCTTTGAGTAAATTTTCCAACGTTATACGCGTAAAACAGTGAATTTACTGGCAAAAATATTGCATCTAGACCTGTATAATATTTGATATATTCTAAGTCATAACGCCCTCCAGCCGCTACAAAATGTTTTGGACGATTAGGACTATCTTGAGCAGATAATTGAAGATGCGTAATTAGTCTTTTGAATTCTTTTTTTGAACACCTGCATGAAAGAAATGCATAGCTCTAATACAGTGGATGATTTTGTGCAAAAATCCTCTTAGCGATAGCTCAAGTTACCGTCCTAGAGTAAATCGATGTGCTGGTAGCCATATAATGGATTTGTTGAATGGCATATAAGCTTCGCAGAAAGAAGCTGGGAACGAGCAATAGAATGCATCTACACTCGCCATGAGAGGATCTAGTGCATAATAGGAGTGGAATGATTTTATATCGGCTTCTGATAGAGAGGTTGAGTGAGCAATGTGAGACTCGATAACTGATGCCAGTGCACGTTTTTCGTGTGCAAAAATGATATTCGGAAGAGTGAATATGAGTTTTGCGTAAGGATTTGCCCGACGTTTCTGGCCGGCTAAGATCACAGTTTGATTCAAATATTGCAATAGACTTGCTGTGTCTGCTCGACATCCATCATGTAAATCACTAGACCAGAAAGCTAAATCTTTTTTAACAGGCATTTCTGAGGCTGCTTTGATTTTGTTGTCACTATCACCAATTTTGACTACATTGTCAGCTGAAACCTCTATCGGAGATGCAGTTATTGTGAAATGTCTCTTGGAGATCGAATAGAGTATAATAACTAATGCTATAAGGATGATCAGAAACAGAAATAATAAATTACGTGGTGAAAACGACGGTGATGATGCTGAACGCAATACCAAAGCCATCTCAAAAGATAATACACATAATTATAGACTGGAACTCTAAAGCAATTGTACTTTGAAGGTAAGTTCTGTCTCACAGTATAGTTTTCTTTTATTGACTGCACATCTAAGCCAATAAATCCTCAGAAAAGTAAGACTGTTTTGTCTTTGTCTTATGAAAACAGATTAACTGACAAAAGACAAGAAGGAAACATATTTTAAGGCCCATGCCCCTCTCAAAAAAAAGGAATTTTCGACAAAAATATCGATTTTTAGATTTATACATAGTTAGATAGCTCAACATCTCTACTTTCGAATGCACTATAGTTTATTGGTTTTTCGATGGTTTTTGAGGGTTTTGCAACGGTTTCTCTGACGACCCCTGCGTCAAAAATTTTTTTTCGAAAACTTCAGTTATTGAAGTTATTTGAGCTTTTCTATACGTTTCAGACAATAAAAGGAAAATCGCGATAATCAAAGAAAAAAATTGTTTTGCGTTTTTCTCGAAACTGTTTTTTTTCGTTTTATTTGACTGTGTGTCAAAGATTTCTTCGCATAAATGGTAGAAAGCTCGGGAAGGTTTTAAAATGAAGGTAAATATCAGCGCTACAACCTAACAAAGCCGGAATTTTTGTTTTCAATTTATTTGTTTACAAAAAACTCGAGTTTTCTAAAAAATTAATCTAGGTT